AACGTCCAAGAAGGGCTCATTTTGGCAGATTTTTATCAGTCAACCAATAAATCGATGCAGCTATAAAAATAATGATATGAATCTTTCTTCAAGTCTGTGCTAGATTTCTTTTTTTTCTGGATAAACCTCAGTACTGCATGGTGCCGACTTACATGCAGTAGTCAGCATTAAGTAACACGTTGGGCCACTGTCATTCAAAGCTGATCATTCCACACTCACACAGTCCTGATCCTGAAGTCAGTTCATTTTGTCATGGTTAAACACTTCATGAACAAAAATAAAATATCTTAGTTTAATTTGACTGTTCTTTTTAATGTCCTCACTTGTACTTATTAATACAAAAGAGACAGGAAGTCAAGTTCTTGTGATTCAACAAACATAACCCGGGTGGTGTGATGTTTCCCACAGACACAAGAGGTGTACTACGCCATCACGAGCCAAACAGACGACAACGTGACTCTTCCCATGATTCTCTCCGAGTGGCACAAGTTGAACAACAAGAGCATGAAGTTTGGAGAGTTTTTGAACAGACTCGCCGTAGAGCTGGGTGGAGCATATTGGATGAACTGGATGCCAAACAACACTCATAATTTCACTCTTCAACAAAGGTCTTAAAAAGAGTTCTAGAAAGAGTTGATTATTGTGCAGGGTTCATTTCAAAGTGGTGATTTGCTCTATCAGCTTTTGATTTAACCAAATGAATAATTATAGGTTGTTTTTAAAAACTAAAATCAAAATGTCTTTGCCTTAAAAGAGTTAGGGTTCACTCTCTAACTTGTATCCAGGGAAGAACTTTGATTTCAGTTTGATAAGGCTTTGCAAATTTCCCATTTCTGTGAGTTTAGCAGAGAGGCAAAAAAATCAACTCCCCACCATGATATCTTTTGGATAAAGTACACAGTGTCTAGTTTCATGCTGTTGGTTATTGTTTCACTGTCCTAACATGTGTTGTGCTTTTGCTTTGCTTGTAGTGTTTTCTTTTTCATGGTGAATTTGGGAGGAAAGATTGAGGAGAGTCAGCTGTGGCCAGAGGTAAAGAACTACTTCCACATGCTTTACTGGGTCTTGTCCTACAGCCCGGGTGTCACACCTTCACCTGCAAACTGTGAGTCTCTTTTTCTTCCCTTTTCTCCCTTTTTTGCGTAATGCTATATTAATATTAAAAACATTATGTTCAAAATGATATTTCATATATATTTATGAAACTTCCTTGAGATTAGGAACATATAGAAGGATACAACATATTTTAGTAATTGTCACTGAACTGTGACCAACAAAATAACTGGTTAGAGTGAGTTTTATCAATACTTTTTTCTTTGTTAAGTCCTTTGTACAATAATTAATAGAAAATACTCCCGTTGAAAAGTGTGGAGGGCTGAATGTGTGGATGAAATAACCCCAAGCCATGCAACATTAAAACAACTTAAACCATAAATAATTGGATTGGTCTATTTAACCTTGTTAATACAATACAATACAACATAATCCAAGTATGTGTGTAAAATGTTTACCTTCCCTTTTAGGCTCCGTCAACAGTGAAACCTTAGCCATTAATTGCGATACTGGTTTCAACTGGTCACGGTTTGTTCAAGGAATGGCTGAGGCTCTGATGTCATCAGATCTAGACGTCCTGGTTAAGTAAGTGACAAAGCTTATTAGTTTTAATGAATGAATAATAATGGATGAGATCATGAATCTTTAGACGATGTATACTTTAAAGCTGAATTTCCTTGATGGGATGTTCTTGTCAAGAGTTTGATGAGTAGTTGGACTTTTCTTACCCGGGGGCTTTGTCCACTTGTTTTAAGAAAAAGAAAAACTTAGCAGCTAAAAACATAATTAAGCTGGGGTATGCTGGCTGTAACCTCACTTTATGCTAAGCTAAGATAGCTGGGTCCAGGTCCAAATAATTGGACAATGCCATCAATACTTTCATCCAGCTTTCTTCAAGAAAGGCAACATTCGTAGTCCACAAAATGTCAAACTACTCCTTGGATTAAATGATTAAGTGTTTTTAGTGTTTTGTATTACAATCTAACATGCTGGTGTTCTTCAAACAAATGCAGAATTCAACTGATTTAGGGATCACAACACCAGAAGTAGCTTTTGTTTGCAATTTTCTAAGATCTAACATATTATTTTCCTCTCTTCTCTTTTCTCTGTAGTTTTCTCAAAGGGACTTTGCATCTTTTGCAGCACATGTATGGCGACATCTATAATTATCTGATAGCATCATCACTGAAAACAGAAATCAAAGGTGGAGATGCCCTCTCCGACTACTTGATTAACCTGATGATAAACCTGGACAAGTTTTTACGGGTTGTCTCCACCCTTCCCAACAGCAGCCTCTCTAACCCGAATGTTATGCTTCCCCAACTAAATAACCTGCTAAAGTCCACAGGTCTTGCACCAATGCTGCCTCTGTTCCTAAGTGACGGCCCCCTTAATTTCTCTGCAGTACTTGATGTTGCCTCAAAGGTTGGCAGGCTCAACCAGCACATTTTTACCTTCAATGAGACGGACCCAACAATGCCTGAGCTTGAGCGGCTGCTAACTAAGTTCCTTTCATTGCAAGGTGACCTCACCCTGTCACTCAGTCACATCATGGGAAACAACCTGCTTACCTATTCGGACTATTTTGATCCAGATGTTGTGGCCCAACTGAGAAAAGCCATCAAGCCTTTCACCAACCAAACTTCATCAGGTATTGTAGAGACCATCCTTAGTGCCATGGAGGTACTAAAGACAGTGACTGATTCTCCGAACGGCGACCCAACTAATATCATTCTTGGGTACCTACGCCAGCTTCAAGAATTGGTGATATCTATGTACAGACTACGAAAAATCGAACATATCTTGCCAAGTATGAGTGCAGGACAAGTCACTGACCTCCAATTGCTTTCCAAAGACTTTCTCAAACTCTTCACCCCTGAGGGTCTTCAGAACCTGACTCAGGCCGGAACAGATGCTGCCCAGAACATTGTTATCCAGAAATTTGTAGCATTCTTACCACTAGCATTCCAACAAGAAGCTACTCGCTTTCTCAATGATTTCAAAGCTCTGCAGTATTACATGACAAAATGTGCAGCAGGGCAGGACTGTTTGGCTGGAATTTCAGAAATCCTCTCCTTCCTGGATCAGATATTTGACCTGATGCTATCAGCCAACGGTACTGTCACCATTAAACTAGCTGCCACAAATGCTTCTCTGGTAGCACAGGAATATGAGGAGGTTACATCCTTTGTCTTCTCACTCCTCCTTGGCCCAAATGATTCTGCCACTGTGAAAACAGTCAAACAGACTCTTCATTTAATCAGATTGCTCATGGCTACACCCAACATTTCTGTGTCAGATGTCCAGAATGCTCTAAGACAGTCAAACCTTACCCTTGAGGAGCTGAAAAACTTTGCAGCACTAGCTGGAGCTGCTGACATAAACAGCCTGTTGTTAAATATAATGGAGATTATTAATACTCGCCAGTGCTTTGAACCACAGCAGGACCTGATGGTAACAGCCCAGTGTGTTACAGGGTTGGTTGAGGGTCTCAGCGGTTTTCTGAAACAAGTACCTGGTCTAAGTAATCAGACGACCATCCTATCCCTTATCCCATTAATTGTCAATACATCTTTCAGAGATATCGTGCAAGCCAACTTCAGTTCCAAACCAAATGTGATTGTCACACACTCCTTGAATAAGACTCTGGCCATTATCAAGTTGAGCCTTCAGGCGAATAACCTGAACTCTCCAGAGATCATGAATGAAATCCAAGTGGTGGAGCGGCTGATACAACTGATTGCCAACATGGAACCTTTCAACAATTTAAACACTACCTTGATGATGGACCCCATGTATGCCCAGAAAGTATATTTGGAGATTATAGACTGGTACTTGAAAAAATTGGAAAATATCACCAGCAACAGCACGGTCTCTGAGATTCTCCAGCCATTTTTTGTCATGACACAAATGCAGATTACATTACAGCTGGCACAGACAGATTTTTCTCTGTTTGTCGGTAAACAGATTGAGCACCTGATACAAAACCTCCAGTTCCCAATAGATGGCGCAGGGCTGAGTAAAATTGGCCAGACAACGGTTGAGATTCTCAAGGGCCTACTTGACATCATAAAGTTCAATCTTGAGGCTCAGAATAACTTGGTGGCTCCAGAGATGTTGTTCAATTGTACCACTCTAAATGCTATTGAGGCTGAAATTAAGCGATACCTAAACCTCACACAGGAGTGGATGAAACAACCTAATGTCCCATTGATCTTCACCAGCATGCTTCAATGGGGGAATTCTTCCATAAACATATCTACCCCTGTGACAGACATTCAGCAGCTGCTGCAGACAATGTCTATATTTCTCAGTGAGGGTGAAGTCATCTATCTTTCTGCAGTTGTCAATATTATGCGCTCCCTGGAGAAAGCCCTAATGGTGGCTGAGCGACCAGGGGGCCTTCAGAGTGATCACTTTGTAGCTGCCATCGTGGAAGGAGTCAAAAGTACTATGGCGCTCCTGATTGGTGCCACAGGCCCCTTGCCGCAATCGGTACAGCAGGACATCCTGGACATTGTGCAGGATTCATTGAAGCTCTTTGTCCAGCCAGACATGAACTTTGACTCATCACGAAACATCTCCATCCTCATCCTCAAGAGAGCTGAGCGTGTCGTCCAAATGATAATACCAGAAATGTATGCTGTATACCTGCTTCCTGCAATCAAAGTGGGAACCACATTCTTTGTGAGCGCCTCAACAGCTAGTGGACCAGACATCTGGAATCACATGTGAGTGATGCTGCGATTTCACTGAAATTGTTTCATTGGACCAAATGAAAAAAAATAAAAAAACACCAATATTAATTTTTGCAGTTAAAAAAAGAATTGAAGATAGCATCATCAACGAATATGYYTAGAATTATACAAACAATATATWAATTAATRACACAAAATAATTTAAGATGCTTTAAAATCACTTTAGATAAGATATTCAGTTGTTGMMCAGTATGAGTATTTTAATGGTATTATTATACAGGGTTTGAAATGATAAACTAATTGAAATAGTGCTCAAGAGTGAAAATCTTTAAATGCCAGTTGGCCACTAAAGGACTAATGGACATTAACTGGACATTTTAGAAATTCACGAGGGAAGAAAAGAAATGCCACAAAGAAGTCAATTTGTAGTGCTTGTCATTCATTACATTGTACTGTCGTTCCATCAATTTATAATGAAAATTAATTATATATATCTCAAATCTGAGGAAAATMGTCCCAGTCGTTAACTATAATAAAAACCACCAAGCCTCCCCATTCCATTTATCTTAATTAACAAGCCCTCTGAAATCAAACAGCAACCTGGAAAGCATGCTTGAGCGCCATCTGCAACCTTCTAATAAAATTTTATGAGATATGATCTTTTGATGAGACACGTTCAGATGTTGAAATATTTTCTCGCTTTGTTTCTCAAGAATTTTGAGTGAGATGAAGACAATCGAGAGCCTTCTGCCGCCAAACAGCACAGCTCGGGCCTACATCTCTGTGGTCATTAACATCACTCGCTCCATCCTGGAGTCAGGCCAAGGCAAGTCCGCTTCTCAGTGTCACTTTAGGTGGACCTGTTGAATCCTGATGAGGTGCACTCCATTATTCAAGCCTAAGAGATGCCTATTAAAGTATCACAGTGCTCATGTGGAGGATTGTAGTTCATATGTTCGTCTATGAAGCTGAAGTCCTCTCTGTGATTAATATTTGTTGTGATTTCAGGTAATATGAGTCTCTGGGCACGTTTTGAGAAGGCATCCCTAGAAGATGTTCCTATGCTTATTGGCGAGGTGAGGCTTAAAACAAGTGTATGGAAAGTTTTGTTTCGTTGGTTTTATAAATAGACTGTATGTTAAGATGGCCGATGCATCTTGCACTTGACTGATTGCGAGTCGTCTCAGTTGTTAAACCTGACATTTCATCCCATATTTCTAGCCTCGAATAACTATTTAAACCTAAACTTACTGTAAAAAATAATAATTTAACATACATCAGTGTGATAAGAACTAGCTAAATTGACAGAAAATTGTACATGTATTTTGACTGACCATTTACAATCTCTTTGTTTTTTTAAGAAAGTTTAATGGAAGTGGAAAAAAAAAAGAAAATGCTGATAAAACATCTGAATGATATCTCTGTTGATACTGGAATGGTCGGCCAACACCCGCTCACAAACCACACCTTGCATTGTAGTCATTGTGTTATTGAAACTTGGTATCTCTAATCATCACAGACAAACAAAACACATGCTTTTCATGCTCTTATCAAAGTGTGTGTCCTGAACTCTGCCTTTTCATCATATTTGATATATATGATGTCACATGCAGCATGTTGCATAGAATTACCAGAATAAATATATAYTAATATATAATTTTCCCTTCTTTTTTGTCAGCTGGGAAAACTTTTCAGCATTTTCTTCACGGGAATGCCAGACTTACAGCAGATGATTGCTTCATCTATAGAGGTCTTCACTCACCTGGAGAAAGCCCTAATGGTGGCTGAGCGACCAGGGGGCCTTCAGAGTGATCACTTTGTAGCTGCCATCGTGGAAGGAGTCAAAAGTACTATGG